GATCTATTAGTGACGAGTTGTCGATACGATAGTAAAGCGGCACAAATACCATGTCGTGAAGGTTGTCGCCCACCGGGAGGTCCGCCACCACCGGTATGTTCAACGATTGCAAGTGATCTCTGGGACCGATTCCCGATAACATTAACACTTGTGGTGAATTTATGGGGCCTTTGAGTTGTAGAAAATTTTTCAAATTAATTAATTGAAAGTATTTCTGATTTTAAGTTAAACTAATTATAAGTTTGATTACTATTTGATACCTGAGCTGACAATGACCTCGCGATTGGCGACAGCGACCACATCGTCGACACCATTCCTCCTATAGACTACTCCATAAGCTCTGGGAGTATTGACCGACGAGTTATCAATCAGTATTTTGCGGACATGAGCTCTGGTGAGGACACGAAGATTAGTGCGATTATAGCGTTCAATGTATGCGTTGGCTGTCGTCGACTTAATGCCGGTGCTGTTGTCCCAAAACATCTGCGCTATTGTCGTCCCTAACAGTCGTGTCGTAACAAAATATTTCGCAAAATATAATAGATTTTCATTGAATATACGGGTATTTGTGATGCAATTGATTACCAAACTGTTGTTCGCCATTAATGTCGACAATAGGTATACCGAGACTATTAGCCGCCTCTATGAAGGACACGACCACCGGATCGGGAATGGTTTCGGTCGACACATGGATAGGACCGCCGGTGTTATGATAAGCTGTGTTGGCGGCGACGGAGGCGTCCGTATTGTTTTCGGACATTAAAAAGTACGGCAAAACTTTGTCATACGTCCAGTCCGTCAGACCGTAACTCTGCGCCCAATTGTCATAATCGCGACGATTGCCTCTGTTATAGATATCCCAATTGGTGACCGACGACCCGCCCAACACTTTGCCTACCGGTGCCACACAATGTGGTCAACACAATGTAGACATTAAAATCAATTACAGATCTTATTCAATACAGTATTACCTCTGGAGATGAAGAAGTTGGGATAAGCGAGTCCGGCACTGGTCTGTGTGACGACGTGGTAGTTCCAGTCAAATTCCCCGCCCACTAGAAACAGGGTATTTCCGGGCATATCAGTGATCACACTCTGGGGTCCGCCCGCCTCCAGAAGCAACACATTTATGGCCGGATTTTGTGCCAATCGTGAGGCGACAACACATCCAGCGGTTCCCCCGCCAACCACTATGTAGTCATATTGGGTGCCATTGACCGGTGTCTGACCACTTCCGTAGTAGTTGTGCTGTATCTGTCGTTGTAATGTGATTATGGATACGGTTAGCAGTTGTAACGATAGACTGGCCATTGTTTAGCACTTTTGTGGCAATTATTATACTTTTATTGTATTTATTTATTGATTTATACATTTTATAATTATTTTCTATTTCAATATTTGGTATAAAACCCGCATTTTATTAGAAAAAACAATAAAGTCTGAAATGTCTAGTCATTTATACTAATGTTATGTCTATTTTAAACAGGTTTTATCATTGGATGTTAAATTAAAATTTAATTTCTATGTTGTCTCTAAACTACTGTACTTTTAATCTTTCAAATTTAGTTTTAACTATAGATTATATTATAAAATTATTTGACGTATGTATTTTTGTTAAATTTTTTCTATGTTTTACTATTTTAATTTATTTTATATTATTGTAATAATTCTCATTATTGTACAAATTTTAATAGTGATTTAAAAATACT